TTTTGCTGATGTGGCATGTGCATGGAGCTTACGCACAGTGATAGGTAAAATTCTGACCATGTTCTTTAGTATTAATTTCCTCCTAAACTTTTTTTTTTATGAGTGTTGGCACCACAAATTTTTTTTCTAAGAGCACTGGGCATCTTAAAATATTATTAAAATAAAATTTAATAAATATCACCAAAATATTAAATATTTTCATATTTAATAATTTAAATATTATTATTTATAAATATTCATTCAAAATTTATAAATTACTTTTTAAATGTTAACAACTCAAACTAGCACTTTATAAATTTATAAATAACTTCTTATTTGTTATATATTGATATTCAATCTTCTCTCTAAGGTAGTGCCCAAATCTTTTATGCATGTTGAAACTTACTTATATTTTTACTTTTAACATTGGTTAAGTTCCTTAAATTTTAGGTCATTGTCTATAATTTTTTTGGTCAACTAACAATTTTTCTTCAAAATATTACACTACTCAAATTTAATAATCTTTGTACATTGTAGTGTTCGGAGTAAAATTAGAAACATGACTAATCAAGACTAACAGTATGCCAACAAAGATGTTTATTTGAAAGATGTTGCTTATTTCATTAATGTGCTACAAAACAATTTACTTAACAATAGAAAAATGGAAATATATGAAAAAAAATTCCTTTATTAATTTGGAGGTTCATTCCCTTCATTTTTAATACAAAATTGTAAAATATCAAAAGTATTAAATTGCTTGGTGTAATGTTTTAAATAATAATATTTAAATTATTAAATATTAAAATACTTAATATTTTAAAAATATTTATTAAATTTTATTTTAACAAGACTTCAAAGCGCATAGTGCTCTTAGAAAAAGATTTCAAGGTGCTCAATGCTCCTCAAAAAAAATTTAGAGGCAAATTAACACTAAAGAGCATGGTTAAAGTTTTATATGTCACTATATATGGGCCCACACATATACTACATTAGTAAAAAATGAAAAAATTAATGGTAAACTAATAGAAGGGGTTTCTTACTCCTCGAAAAAATAGTTTAAAGGTAAATTTCTCCCTTAAAAGTATGGGATACCCAATACTCCTAAAAAATAAGTATAAGTACAAAATTGGACCTTATCCCATTAAATTACCACTCTAATTAATGAAACATATTTATCTGGTGAAAATAAATATTGATTTTATGAGAGACCATTTGAAAAAAGTAAAATAAATACTTTTTGAAACTTATAGTTTTGCTTATACATTAAAACAAAAAGACACATAATAATTTCTCTTATATTTGAAAATAAAAGGGGTAACAATTAATTTGAAGTTTAGGAAAATTAAATGTACTGCTGATAGCTTACACAAATTTGGGCCCCTCTTTAGTTGATGACGCTTGTAGTTTGTATCTTTGATCATAAATTATGTTTTTGCTTATATTTGCTTCTCATTGATTGAATAGATGCTTTCAGTTTTGATTTAAGAAGAAAAAAAAAATAGAGGGAGAAAAAACTCTGTTGGTCGTGGCCAATATCGATCCCAATGAAAACAATTTCAGTTGTGGCTAACAATAAGCCCAATTTATTAGCTTCACTTGTTTATGGGTTGAGCATCAAATTCATTTAGGCCTTGGGCCTTGATTGTTAAGTCGACTTCAAAGACATTTAAAAAGCATGACAAGTTCTCGTTGAAAGATTGAGTGATATCAACAAGTGCTTGTCTAAGTAATTAGAGGCATGGCCAGTTTATCATGGGATCTCCTATTCAAGTTTCAAGGTACGCGATCGTGCAGCTGAGCATATACCAGTAGTATCCACAAAACTCTCACAACAAGAGCCCCACCTACATAGAGATCTGGATTAGTTTGGAGTAAGTTGAGCAGATAATAGAACCCAAAATACCCAAACACTTTAAGATATTCGGTGGAAAACCAAAAAACCACAAAAAAAAAAACAAAAGAAAAAGGATCGAGTGGTTCTTATTCTTGGGTGCCACATACTCATTTTTGTTTGTGTCAAAAGTTATAGCTTTGGGAGTTACAACTATTATTGCAAGTTACCCAAAAAAAGAAATTGTTCCATTGGAAATGGCCACCATTTTTTATGAAGAGTTAATGTGTATAATACTTGAAAACTTTATTTTCAAGTTCAAGAGCTTCTAATATCTTTAAATATATAATAATATATGGATACTTGTTAATTTTATAATAAAAGATAACCATTTTCAATCTATTAAAATTACTTGACATTGACCGTTAAATTTTAAGGATAGAAATTAATAAGTTGAAAAAAAGGGCTGTTATATAAAGTTAATAATTATTCATATACCATTATTGACTTAAATTCAAATGCCAAAAGTTCCTAAAAAAAAGAAAAAAGGTTTCTCGAAATTTTTATAATTTAATCCTTTGGGTTATTGTCCTCCTATAGAATCACGAATACCAAGCTTAATTGCCAACCAAACATTTTATTAACTAGCGTGGTTTTTTCTTTTATTTTTTTTCCCCTCCAACTAACGCTATTTACACTTTTTTTTTATGTAAAATGGAAAAATAGAATGAATGAGAGGCCAGAGAAGGTACCCAGTCACGTACCCGCAATGTTATTGTACAAAGCTCGATGAGCGTTGACAGAGCATTCCCAAAAAACTAAATGCCAGGTTGGGATCGGCATAGCGCGTGCTCATCAGCCTAATGGATTATTTTAGCCCTTCATTTCATCTTAAATAATCATTAATGTTAATTTTAAATTAAAATATTTTTACTATTATATTTATCAAAATAAAAATATATAAAAATTATAAAAAATTAATATTAAATAGAGGACAAATTCCATGCTATTTATCACCCTCTTTAATTGATTCACTATTTACTCTCTTGAATTGGATCAAAATATAACATGTAGGACACTTTTAACCACTTTATAAGGTCTAATTTTTTTAAAAAAAAGTAGTTTAAATGGTTTGTGTTATTAAAATAGTAAAAAATTATCATTATTTTTGAAAGTTATTCTCCGTTTAATAATCTATCTTAATTACCTTTATTTTTTTTTCTTATATAATCTCTCTCCACAATACAATGAGCTTTTGGGAAAAAAAAAATATTGATATTGACTTTTGTGAAATGTCATACTCCCACTAATCCTATTTATAAGGTAGAGATAGAAAATTTTTTTTTAGTCCTACTTATAAGTCACATCATTAAATTTTCATTACAAATTTCTTTTTTACCCTCTATTAAATATTAGAGAGAGAAAATATATTATTGAAATATGTATATTTAGTATGGACAAAGTTAATAACTTATTAAATTTTAAGAGAGTTAATAAATTTTTTAAGGTTTTTTTGTACTGGTGAAATATGTTAAAAGTGACTTATAAATAGGACCATGTGAGTATAATTTTTTTAGTAAAAAAGAAAATTTTCCCTATATTACAAATCTAGGAGTCTGATATCTTAAATTCATTTTTTATACAATACACCACTTTAATGTTTGGAAAAGGTACAATCTAGCTCATAACTTTAACAAAAAATTAATTTTAATCGTTAATTGATTAGAAAATGAGAAAAAAAAGATATCAAAAATTACAAAAAAGAGGCAATAAATTTTTGAGTTCTTTTTTGTAATATTTTTGAATCATTATCTATAATTTTTGGATCTTTAATATAATTTTAGCACCTTGATGTGGACATATTTCTTGATAAGATGAGTCTTGAAATCTCTCCATCATTGTCCCCAATAAGTTAACAGCCTTCCCCTACATTTGATTGTTAGGAATATCATAAATAAATTATAATTAATAATAATTAGTATTTTACACATAATAACGATTGTCTTTGAACCAAAGTAAAAAATCCTATGTTAGAACCTCATTTTGCACTAGTGCCCTCTTCTTTCTCTCTTTTTTATCTTTTCATCTTTTTTTTTAATATTTTCTCTCTTCTCTTTTTCCCTTCTTATTCATCCATCCGTATGATTTATCAATAATATGATTTATCAAATTTTTTATATTAATTATACATTGTATTCTAAGATTTTCCTTCGTTGGTTAGATAATCAAAGACATTTTAGTTATCGCCAACAAGACATAAAGAGCACGAAAAAACTTTGTTTTTTTTTTTAACGGTTTTAATTGTTGAGCAGAAACATGTTGACGGCTAACAAAACATGAATGCAAAAAACATTATATTTATTGCTAATTAATATGTCCCTTGAAGGAAAGTACTAAATTTCAGATCTGAGAAATCCAATATTAAATTTGCCCGTTCAGACAAAAGCTGACTTCGACTTGCCTCTGTAATGTTAAAAAAATAAAATAAAAAACAAAAAACAAAATCTGAGAGAAATCAAGTACTTACGATATGTATTACCTTTGTCTCTTCCATAAGTAGGAGAGAGAATACTTACAACATATATTACCTTTATCTCTTACGTATTCACTCTTTGCCCTCTGTTAAATATTTTAGGATGGTTATTAAATGTTAAAATATTTTATTTTTAAGATATATGCTTCATTATTTTTATAGATAAAAAAATTATCGTGTATCTCTTTGTTTTATTTATAAGTAAAACTAAAAATTTTAACAAGCATTTATCACATTTTTTTAAATTATCACATAAAATTAATGCTTATTTTTATTAAACAAACTTCTTTAATTACCGTGATAGTTTAGTCTAAATTTTTAAATTTTAAATATAATTATTATATTTAAACAAGTTTATTAAATTGTGTGAATTGAGTATTAATTTCTTCTATATTTGAAAATGAAAGGAGTATATTTGATCCGTGTAAAGGTGAAAAGTTCAGGTTTTAAACTTGATTTTGGTGAAATATGTTATAAATAACTTATAAATAAAATTTAAAAAATATTTATTTTCTTGGCTCTTCCATAAAAATGCAGCTAGCTCTCCTTTTGCATTCATTCATGCAAACCCACATTTAACAATAGAGAGAGAGAGAGAGAGAGAGAGAGAGAGAGGGATGGACAGTGACAGCTCTCTCAAGCTTGCTCATTTTGCAGGCATAAAGGGAGTATATGCCATGAGAATTGTGAATACAGGCAAATCTTCCCAGGAAATAGGTACAGTGAGTTTGAGAATGCAGAGAGGCTGTTTGGTGTGAGCAATATGCTCACAATCATACAAAGTGTGGAGGCACATCAAAGACAAGTTGCTGCAGATTCAATGTTTGTGGAGGCTAATGCATGGAGAAACCACCCAGTTCGTGGGGTTCTTGGCTTTGCTTCTGACCTCATTTCTCAGATTCACTCTCACTCAAACCAACTTCAAGTAGCCAGGAAACAGCTCCAGATCTTCAATCATCATCATCATCATCAAGATGATGATGACGATAGGCTTCAAAGCCAAAACATGATGATGCAAATCCAAATGCCTACTTCTTCCTCTTCACCAGAAATCCCTCCGCCGAGTGGCCTGCAGCTTCATGATTCTACTGATGAAATAGTAAGGCTTCTTTGGTATGTGTTATAATTATTTAGAATTAATGCGAAAACATTGTTTACCTCTTATTTTCTGCCATTATATTGGGAAAAATCTGGTAATGTGATTTAATTTTGCATAAATGCCAATTTAAACTTTAGACTATAAATTTAAGAGCATTGTATCTAGAACTCTAAACTCGTGCTTCATGCAACTCTAACCTCGTGCTTCATGCATTTTCACCTCTCCAAACTCTAAAATCGTGGCAGTCTCTCTCCTACAATTGACTTTGAGAATTAAATGACTAGAAAATTATAGAAAATGGCTAAAAGAATTACAAGGAAAAAATGAGCCAAAAATTATAAATGAAGGTTAATAATATATTAGATATTATTTGTAATTGTTGAGTCTTTTTTTTTTTTTGTAATTTGGAAATCCTATTCTATAATTTTTTTTAATCAACTAATAGTTAAATTACTGATATTAAAGAAATTGCTATGATTTTAAATTTTCAAAAATAAAAATGTATCAAAAATGAGTTTGTAACCTCAAATACTCCTGATCTTATATAGTTGAAGGATTAAATTATTATTTTACCCAATAATTTTTTACACCTGAGGTGAAGTCGGATAGATTTCTAAAAGTAAAGGTTGCCTAAAGTTTGGTGAAAGGATCAATTTTTGCATTAACTATGTGACGCAATATGTACCAATGATAATTATTGCAGGTGCTTTATATTGAAAACTACTGCTGTCGGTGCAATAGTCCTCTTCCTTTGGGGGTCCAATTGGGTAAGAGCCTTAAATATACTGTTTTTACGCAAAGGGTAATTCGGCTTTTACTAACTTTTTTACACTATGTTTTGATTTTTAGTCTCACAGCAAAAAAATAAAAGCATAATAGTTTTGTATACATCTTATTCTATTTATAAATTATTTTTAACATATTTTATTAAAATAAAAAAAATATTAAAATTTATTAAATCTATTTAAAAATTTAATAAGTTCTCAATGTTATTTTTATTAAATATATAGAATTTAATAACATATTACTTTCTCATACCAATATTTAATGGAGAGTAAAAAAAAAATTTATGATAAAAATTTAATGAATTTTTATAAATAAGCAAAAAAAAAAATTTTTTGTTGCTCTCTTATGAATAGAAATAGGATTGGGAAGGAGTATACATCAAAGTTCAATGTCATTCTTAATATAGACCCGGTTAACTAGTGCATTGAGATTAAAAATTTGATTAGATTGATTATTTGTCATTATTGTGTAAAAACTGTGTCACTTTTTCCCTAAAATACCCCTCATTTAATAAGGATATTAGATATGGCTTAAAAGAGAATGAAAAAAATGTTAAATTAGTGAGGGTGGTTTGAAAAAAAAATTATTAAATGAGAGAGATAACTAAAATTGATGTCCTGTATTTAAGACCAAAATATATCCTTTGAGTAGTTCTTATATTTAATACTGGAAGGAGTATTGAATATAAAATATAAAAGATATATCTAACTCATTGCATGAGAAATGTGCATGTGTACTTTTTTAAAATTATAAAGAATACTTAAAATAAAAAATTTATCCCTTTTAATTATGAAACCATAATACTTTGTTTTTAAATATAAAATAAAAATAATTAATTCACATAGTCTAAAAAATTTAATTAATCTTAATAATTATGTCTGAAATTGAAATGTTTAGACTAAAATGTCCCTATAGATAATGTTCATTTTTTCTCCAATTTAATAATATTATCCATTTATGAGAGGCAATTTAAAAAAAATGTAATAATTGCTTCTTAATGTTTGTATTTTTTTCTTATAAAAAATTAGTGAAGTATATGTTCTTGTTAATTAATGTGAGCGCAGCTTAGTGTTATGAGTGAAATTATTTCTTTTGAAGAAGTGAAGCCATTGGAGGTCCAAGAAATCATGAGGCTCCTTGAATATTACAGGCGTCGAAGGGTTCAACAAACAAGGTATTATTCAATTACATTTTTAATTAATATTTCCTCTATCTTTAAATATAAGAAAAATTATTATATGTCTTTTCATTTTTTTAGAAGTAAAATTATAAATTTTATAAAATATATCACATGTAATTTTTTTTAAAATTTTCCCTCATAAAGTTATGTTTATTTTCACTAAAAACTTTATTTCATTAATTGCATGGATAATTTAGTCCAAAATTTTTAACTTCAAATATAATTATTATACTTAATCACCTTTCTTGAATGGCATGATTTAATTATTTTCTCTTATATTTATACATGGAGGGAGTAAAATTTAACTCAATCTTGTAATTTTCTGTCTTTAATTTGGTTGGATAAACTGACAAATTAACCTTTCAATAATTTAAATTATGGCTACAATATTCAAAATTCTCATAAATTTTAAAACAGTCATACAGAACCCCTCACTTTTAAAAGTTTAAAACTAACCTTCTTAATATATTATTTTTTTACTATAGAATCCTTTGCTGTTCTTTTTTTAATTATTTTTGTCAAAAAACATGTAGCAGCTTATGTGGCAAAGAAAGCTAATAATAGTTTTATAAAAAATTTTATTTACATTTTTTTGTTGTTATTAACTTACACTGAATGCCATATAAGTTGCTATGTTGTTTTTTAATATGATATGGTAATTTCTATTCATAAGATAATTAAAAAATAGTAGTAGGACTGTTTGTGGTAAAAAAAAATAAAAGGATAAGAAGGTTAATTTTAAACTATTAAATGTGAGAGGATTTTGTATAACTGTTTTAAAATTTGAGAGAGTTTTGTATAGTTTAGCCTTAAAAGACTAATATAGAGCTTGGAATAAAAAATTAAAAGTATGGGAAGAAATTGATATCATCCATACATGTGTCATAGAATTTGGTGGAGAACTTCATATTTTATTTAGCAATTTAAAATAAGGATTAATATGTAAATTAGAATTTGAATTATAGGTTAAGGAGCAATTTAAACCATAAATTCATATTTGATATATTTTAAATTTAAATAATTAAACTTTAGCCAATTTTGCCCTACCATTAAATTAAAACAAACACTCGTTACTCTCAAAAAAGAGGTTTGATTTGCAATTTTTTTTCAAAAGAAGATAGGAGAGAGAGCGTGTGAAATTTGAGAAAAATTGCCCATCAAGTCTCATTTTTTTTAAAAAAAAAAAGTAGCTAACATTTGTTTTAATTTGATGGTAGGAGCAAAATTGCTCCTAGTTTAATATTTTATGATTTAAAATATATTAAATATGAGCATAGAGCTTAAATTACCCTAGACTTTTAATTCAAGTTTAAATTATATATTAACTCTTAAAATAATTATAAGTAAAATGAGTGTTTTACAGGAGTGAGATTAAGGTAAAAGGCGAGGACCAGAGCAACGTTGGGAAAGATGAAAAGAGAATTGCTATAGCAGAAGTTTCAGAAGATGAAAATTTGGACATTATTTGGTGTCATTTTTAAATTTAAAATAATGTTCATTATAGTTATATAATGATTATGTAATTATAATTATCTTTTTTCAGTATTAATTTGTATTTAATACCATAAAAATATTTTCTATTTATATCAATATTTTACACCTAGCTGAGTTTCTCTCTCTCTTTCTCTCTCTCTCTCACACGCATTCGCGCGCGTGCTGAGAGAGAGAGAGAGAGTAAATAAGTAATTTGATTTTTAAATTATAAGTTCAAAAGCATATGGAGTCTAATAATACAATTCAAATTGTACCATTAATAAAAATTAACTTTGATAATTAGTTGATCATAAAATGAAAAAAAAAAGATTTCATAAATTACAAAAATGAATTAATAAAATTTTCTTAGTCATTGTCTGTAATTTTTTATGTCTTTGTCAATAATTTTTAGGACACTTATTATATTTTTTTATCATTTCCTGGTCAACTAATGGTCAAAATTAACTTGTGTTAACAGTAAGGTTGTATTGTTTTAATTTCAAATGCTAAAGAAAAAATATTGCACAAAAAATAAATTTGAGGTCCCAAATATTTTTGAACTTATAATTAAGGTTCAATTTACTCATTTACCCACACATACGTACGTACATACATACATGGAGCCATGCTTTAAACATGTGCTTAACTTAAAAACAGTTATACGTGCTTTCATCCAGTTTTCATTATTTCTTATACTATTCATGATTTACATTCCTTTTATAAAATTAAACTTTCATTTGTTGGAAGCAAAATGCATGTTATCTAAGAACCCGTTGATCTAATTTCTGGCCTATATAATTTTCTGCAGAAATAGGGGTATCTGATACCAGTCGTGTAGCACCTCTCATATCTGGTACTAAATATCCGAATTTTGGCTAGCGTCCGTGCTAGAACATTCATACTTGAACAAACTATGTTAACTACTCATGATTCTGATTGTCGCTACTAATGAGTTTGTCTGGATTGATCCCATCATACTTGAGTCTTACTAGCTCTCCCTACCTCTCCAAAGCAGAATTATTCTTTTCAACAGGGGGAATTATGAAATTAAGAAGAGAAAGATTAAAATAAAAAAAACCTTGAAAATCCATTAAGGTGATGGGTGAATTTAAGTTGAGAATTTGGATTTGAAATCTCATATTTTAAATATAACATTTGACATTTATATATTCTAAATTTTTTGTTTGGATGATATAAAAAATTTTAAATTATAATATTAAAATCCTTTGTTTACATATTAAATAAGATTTCAAATTTCAAATTTCAAATTTTAAATTTTATATTTGAATTTAAAACCAACTCAGATAATGTTGGCAGTCTGGTCCTAGTAAAAGTCGATAGTTTAAACGGTTCACTTCCACCAGGACCAGATTGCTGGTGCCTACCAGGATCGAACCACAGATGTTGATCAGGACCATACTACAGGCGATGATTGGGATCAGATGGCTGACTTCCACCAAAAGCATAACGTCAGCACCGATCGAGGCCAAATCACTGGTGTTGACTAGGAATGAAGTGCAAGTGATGACTAGGACCAAACAATTGACTTCTAGTGAGATTGAATCGCTGATGCCAATCGAGGTCAGGCAACCGACTTCTACAGAGACTAAACCGCCTGTGCTAACCAAGACCAAAATGTCAACTTCTAGCAAGACCTCACCATCAATAACAATTGGGGTAGGACTATCGATGATGATCAGGATAGGATTGCTAGCACTGAGTGAAATTGCACAGTTAGCTATTCGATCTTGGTCATCGCTTGCACTTTAGTCCCGTTCAACGCTGGTGGTTCGATCCCAGTGAAAGTCAGCCATTTGATCCCGATTGTTACTTGCACTCCGATCCCATTTGGCATCGATGGTTCGATCCCGATGGAAGTTAGCCTTTTAATCCTAGTCATCGCTTGCACTCTTGTCCCATTTGGCAATGGTGGTTCAGTCTAGGTGGAAGTCGGCCGTCTAGTCTCGGTCATTGCTTGCACTTCGGTTCCTATTGGTGTTGACGGTTTGGTCTTGTTGGAAGTAGTCATCCAATCTCGATGATTGCTATTACTCCAATTTCGGTTGGCATCGACGATCTAGTCTTGATTAGCACCGGCAGTTAGGACTTAGTCAGTGCTAATGGTCCTGTCTTGGTTGACGCCGTTGGTTTAGTCCTGATAAAAGTTATCTATTTGATCCCAATTGGTGTTAATTGTCTGGTCTTGGACGACAGTGGTGGCAGTCCCTTATTATTTTTATTTTAGGATTTTTTCAATTAATATATGTTATCATGCATTCAGAACGTTTACATTTAACTTTAGAATTTCAACAATATTATCACATTTATTTTTAAAATTAAGTTATGTCCTATAAATATCACCTTAATGCATCTTCTTTTTAAAGAAAAAATTGATATTGACTTGCCACTTTCTAAGTTTTTATTTTCTCTTTATTTGCTCTCTTTCTTTCTGCCCCTTTGCACTCCCCTATTCTCCATCACTAGGATTATTTGCAGTGCAAAATTGGATATAATTTGATTTTATATATATGCTTGTCATTAACAAAATTTGAGAAGATTATGTTATTAAGAGTGAATTTGATAGTAAAAAATGAAATTCTAATTGAGAACATAAAAGTTATATTCTAAAGTAGAGATTATGATGAGCTTAGTGAAATATACAGGACAAAAAATAAACCCAAACTAACAAATGTGATTTTATAAATTATTCATTAGTCTTTTTTATAAGTAAAACGTTAACTCCATGAATACATTTTCCATATTATGGCGTAATTTTTGCATTTTGGAAATCCACAATTATTTGGATTCTCATTTGTGAATTATCGTTCTTGCTTTGTTCTTTTTTTGGCCTTACATGCTTTTGCTCTAGAAACCTTAAGTTCATATTTTTCCTTTCCTGTTCACTATCTGCCTCTCTTTTTAACAACTGTTCCTATTAATTTTGTTTAGATATTGTCTAAAATCATTTCATATTAATACATTACCATATTACATTTTTTTTTTATTTTTAAGAAAGCTTCTTTTTCTTCTTACTTTCCTTTCTTGTTACACTATCTCTTTTTTCAAATGATTTCTTCTTTTATGACATAAATCTCAAGCATTAAGTGTTGATTATTTATAAATATGTTAATGAAAATATGATTTTTGTAAATAAATACTTACTATATTAAAATATTAAATTTTAAAAAATAAATTTCATAAAATCTTTAGATTTTATTTTTAACTTTATTATATATACCTATATATATTGGGTTCAATTTGCATTGTTAGAATGAGAGGAAACATAAACCATGGCAACGTCACAAAAGTATCTGGTTTTCATTTTGTCTTTGCTACATCTTTTTGTTTTTTTAAAAAAATTTCTTATAGCTTTGTTTCCGTACAACATGATGTACCTTCAAGTCCAAATCCAATAGGAGATGGGCCTTCACCATCGCCTGATGTCCAAATTTCCAATAGTTACAACTCTTTAAAGCATGAGATTTACTAGAAAGTCTCATTTCATTCAAAGTTCATTGAGCCTGCAATTTCTCTTCCTTTGAAACAAGCTTTAGTTTCTAGTGGCTCCAACTCTGTGAACTACAACAGAAAAGTCCATGATGGTTTTGAAGCAATTGATCCTCCAGTTTCCTCTTTAATTTAAAGCAAGCTTGAGTTAACTCTTTAAATTTTCTGAGATTAATAAAAAATATATATATATTTCAACCTTAAGTGATATCAAGACTTGCCCGGTGCTATTAATTATATTGCACATCAAGAAGTGCAATGTGCTATGTATCTTTACATGATATGAAGACTTTTATGTGAAATACGATGCATATAAAAATGTTTCATTGCAAGTATATGGGTTATGCAATATATGTACTAGCATGTTAAGATTGATTATATGAGGAATCAAGCAAAATAACGATTAGGTAATCAAGTTCTTAGTTTTGTTTAAGTCAAACGAAACTAATTGAAATTGATTGATTAATCAAAATTAAAATTGAATTTAATAAAAATGCAACGAAATGCTTAAATTCAACAACCACTTAAGTAAAAAGCAACCTAGAGTCACTAATGACTGATTAACTTCTTAGACTTCATTTTAACCCAATTAATTAATTTCAATGCCAATTTTGTTAAACGAAAGTTTTAATAACTATTAGGGTCTTTCAATCCACTAATAATCCTCTATGAAATTAATTATATTAAGTCTAACACAATTATTTGAGAGGCAATTCAAACCAAGAACACTCTACAATAATTATATAGGACAATTAGGTATATGTCTATCCTAATTACAAATTAGATAAAATCTAATCTCATATATTATTCCATCCAATTGTCCAAATGACATTCTCTCTTGTCAATAAAAAATCCCAAAACCAAAATCACATTTAATGTTGGTCAAGCATCAAATAAATTTTCAAGCACAAGATTGAGCAACTAAAATCAACATTGAGCTTAATTAATGGGTAAAAATGAGTCTAATCCATTAAAAGGTTCCTAGTTCCTCTAGGTCTAATCCATCACTAATCTCCCATGAAACCCAAGTTTTTCCATCTCATCTATGGTGTTTTTATCTCTTCCCTGGTAAGTTTCTAGCTGCTAGAATCAAGTAAAGTTGAAAAATGACGAGCCAAAACATTCAAAACCGTAAAAATATTAGTTTTCTACAAAATTGTGTTACCTTAACTAATGCTTATGCTGTGACATAATCGGGTTACACTGCAGCGTAAACCACTATGTCACTATAACTATGCATTACATTGTAGAGTAATTTAGAGATGCTATAGGGTAAATCTTATGTTTTCATCTTCAATCTTTACTTGCATAAAGCACTTTGACTCTTAATTTGGATCATCCTACACACAACATAGCATCATTAATGTAATTTTTTGATACATCATTAATGCAATTTTAGCTTAAGTAATCCATTCATTTCAACAAGATATACTACCAATTCTCCCTTCTCATATTCAAAAAAACTTTTCTTTTTTCCTTTTTCTCAAATAATAGTCTCATT